TTTAGGATATTCTGAATTCTTATTTTATTATACATTAATTTAGTGGGTCAACCCAAATGGTGTCCTCCACCATTATCGTACAAAAAAATTTGAGGGGGCCAATAGCTCAATACATTCCTTCAGTCCTTGATTTGGACATGAAGGGGTAAATTGCAAGGTTGGTCACTGAAAGTGCTAAAAACATTTACGTTTGGTCACTAAAATAATTTTATTCCGTTCGTAATCACTGAAAGTGGTTAACGTTTCACGTTTGGTCACTCTTCGTTAACCTCTGTTAACACCGTTAGTGATTTGCTGACATAGCTAACAAAAGTGCCTAATCAGCAAATTTTAATATGCCACGTCACAAAATCCAACCCACCATATTAGAACCCTAATCCTAACCAAATCAATGCCTCGCCCCCGCCCTCTCTCTTTTATCTAGCTCTGCCTCTCTCTATGTGAAGCTTCCATTACTCTCTCTCTCTCTCTCTCTCTCTCTCTCTCTCTCTCTCTCTCTCTCTCTCTCTCTCTCTCTCTCTCTCTCTGTGAAGCTTTAAATGAGCCATGGATAGCCCACAGTTCGATATTATGCAACGCCAACCAACGACATCACCACTTCTTCTCAACCAAATGTCCATCTTCCAACATTAAGCATGGTAAAGGAAACCATACCGGACATCATACCAGATTCTTTTCTGGTATGGTATTTTGTGGTACGACCGTGGTTCAACCGTTTTGTACCGGTAAATACCGTTTTTCACTATTGATAGAGAAATGAAATGCGATAGTATAAAAAATATAATCCATCAAAAAAAGAACCAAATAGAGCATTATACAACCACGGTGACCCATTTTCAACATAGAAAAATAGCAAAATAATATTCTTTTTTAATTATTTTCCACATATTGGACGAGAATACGGAGAAATGAAGCTGAATCATGGACCAGGAAACGGATCGTACCGGCCGGTTCAACCGGTTCAACCGGTCAAACCGGAAAAATCGGCCGGCGCGGTAAATCCAGCACAATTATCCCACCGTACCGCTTTTGATCCAATTTCCGGTTGAACCGGCCGGTACGATCCGGTTTCCTGGTCTATGACATCAAGTCGTAATTGAACGAATCGCGGTCATGACCTACTTGAAGGAAGAAAATAATAATGATGGCAGTGAAAATTGAGGAAGGTTCTTCCTCTCCAGCTCATCACCAGAAGAGAAAGAAAAGAAATTACTATGGTTGGGATTCCAATTAAAATCTCGATATAAGGAATGGCAAAGGTCCTACCTCTCTCTGTCTCTCATTGAACCCTCTCAGCAACCCTTATTCTCTTTCTCTCTTTCTTTCGCTCAGCAGAAGAGCGATTGTTTCTCTCCGTTTAAATTAATTTAGAGTTGTCGGTTTGATTGTTGTAGGCTAATTTGTTAGTTGACGCAATCCGACTGAGAGATAAATCTGGTTATTGTGATGGAGAGGATGGAGAGCAAGGAGGGTCAGCCCATTTGTCAGAGAAGAGGATGTCAACTATTGTAATGGGGAGGAGGGAGAACGGGGAGTCGAAATCCCGGCGGTAAATTGGCGAAGTTCCACAAGGTGTTCAAACGACGGTAATTATCATTGCAGGGGGATTCGGAGTTCAAGGGTAGGCTGTTGGCCTGGAGGGCGGATGTGATATGGAGGCCGTTGTTGGTGAGGTTGAAAGTGATGGCGGAGGAGTTGACTGCGCGGGTGGGGGAGAGAGAGACGAGTCTCGGAGATGGGGATAGAGGATGAGAGAGACGACGTTGAAGAGGCGGCCAGTGTAAAAACGGTCGGGTCGAGTGAGAGGGTTGAATTGGGTTTTGGTTATGTAGTAGGGGTGATGTGGGCGGGTCAGCTCTTATGATGTGGCGAGTTAAATAGGGGTTGGATTTTGTGACGTGGCATACTAAAATTTGCTGATTAGGCACTTCTGTTAGCCATGTCAGCAAATCACTAACGCTGTTAACGAAAACTAACGGAGAGTGACCAATGTGAAACGTTAACCACTTTCGGTGATTGCGAACGGAATAAAATTCTTTTAGTGACTAAATGTGAATTTTTTAGCACTTTCAGTGACCAAACTTGTAATTTACCCTGACATGAAGCAAGGAAAACTTGACTTGGGGAATAAGTATAATAGGTCCTACGTCATAGAACTAGACTTACACCATCATCTCGACTATAAACATTAAACAATGAGGCCGAAATGCTGTGTGCGATTTTGTGGACTGTGACCAAACTTCGTACTGGGATGGGATATTAGGCCCACTAGGCCGACTGTGGGCTTGTGGACCGGCTTTATACGAATCAGCCCACTATGAATAAACAAAAAAATTCCCGCCCGCAAGATAAAGCTTCCCGCGTGATCCTCCTCCAGAAAATTCTCAAGCAGAAGAGAGAGGGCCGGCCAGTCCGATTAGTTCTGGGATTCTGTGACCATCAGGCCTCCTCCGACGATCGTAGCTTCCTTTACTCCGTTGGTTGCGACCCTGGACGGCGGCGCCTCTGTTAACGGGTGGGTTCTCCTTCCTCCCGCTCTTCTGTTTTATTTTCTTTTGCTTTCCCGTTCGAAGCTCTGTGAATCCTGTGCTTGTCTTGATTGTTGAGTTGATGAACCAGCCGCAGTGAAGATACGACTTGTCGGTTGCAGAAGTTCAACGTGATTATCGGCCAGGGTTCAAGAAGGTGTAATTCGGTTCGGTGTATGTCTAGACACGTCTAGGCATGTATAGGGCTCGTCTAAGTCATTAGCAGAAAATTAGGCATTCTTAACGACTAAGGAGAGCTAGGAACAATCAATCAATGCGAAACACGCTTAATCAAAGTGACACATGCTTAGGCATGGCTAATTGAATTGAGGCAGGGCTAAGAACGATTAATTGTCTTTTCAAATTGATGCTTTGTCGATTACATACCACACACAACCCACGACTTCTATAAACTTGTGATTCTAAGAAATCATGACATATGTTATTTGTTGTTGAGAGATTAGTTAAGTTGTTAATCATTTGAAATTGAACTCAAGGAAAAAGTGCTATAAAATTAGTATAACTGCTAAAATTTGATATTTTCACTAAAATGCCTAGAGTGCTAGACGGTAGACAGGGCCTCAACGCATGTCTAGTGCCTAGCGCCTTTTTGAACTATGTCATTAAGCAACTGCCATCTGTTTTGTTTATTTGAGAGTAAGGTTGGTCGGTAATTGTGATTGGATTGTTTTAGTATGGTTTTTCATCACCAATTTTGCAGAAAGAAGCCTCATTCATGGATCGCGTTGGCATCAATGTGTAGATGGATTTGTCTTGTGTGTGTGATTCAGATTGTGGTAGTGACTTCGCGTTCAAGGATTGCTGATAGGTTTAAGGGCATTCAGTGTTTCCAATGCTTTGCAAGATGAGAGCAGATAGGCCTCTAATCCCAGGTTGCAACTGCTCTTGAACTAATGAGTATGTTATGGTCTGCTTTAAGGATAGAAACTCTTAGATCTTTTCATGTCAGTTGTAGTGTGATAGCAACCTGTTCGTTGGGTGGTATAGTGTCCTTTATGTTCTTCTTCTTTGGAACTTATAGATGTGTGAGGCAAGTTACTCTACAAAATTATAAAGGTTGGTTGGCTGGAGCCTGGTGCTGTTGTTGAAGGCATAAAGCCCAACAATTTCTGTGTGCTACTTTTGCTTTGCTAGGAAGTAGTTTGGTGTCTACCTCTTGAAATGTGCTATTTTCTGCTGTATGATCTATTTCTGTGCTGTTTAGCTAGCGGGCTTCTTCCATCTTGTAATCTTGTGTAGTTACTGACTGTTGAAATTGACTGTGGATTAGAAACTTCTTTAAACACCTTTCCAGATTTCTTGCAGTCCAAACAAATGCTTGCTGTGTTCTTCTGTTCTCCCTATTTCACTGGTCTTGAATAGGCAGTGGATTTCAGATTCCTTTGCTCAATCGTGCTGTTGTCTTGCTTGTAAGTAGATGAACCTGATCTTAACCTTTGGCATACAATTGAATTGGAATTGAACTTCAGTTTGCGTACACCATGGAAGTAGAAGGTTTGCAGTTGATGCAGAATCTGTGTCGTTATTGTGAAATGTAAAGAAGCTTGTCATTTGTTCAATGGCTAATATGGAAGTAGAAAGTTTGCAGTATCTTGATTCATCATAATCTAATGTGTGAATGGAACACTACCATACATGGATATTCTTGTTCATATTGTGAAAAGCAAAGAAGCTTGTTCTTTGTTCTATGGCTAATATGGTAGTGAATAACTGTTTCTACTTCACTATCTAGAAAAAAGGAAGTGGTCAAGTCAAGCTGGTGGCAACACTTTCTGATTCTCTGGCTTCTGCACAATTTCCCAAGCCGGTTGTGGAGGTCAGCAGAGATGCTCCAAAGGACGGCCATATATGGTTGCAGGTAATTTTATATCAATATATATTTAGGACTCTGAATTAGTTTATACTCTCTTTCTTTCTCTGTTGTTTCATGACGTTATCTGTCCCTTTCTTTTAATGCCAATTATCTAAGTTTGAAGATGTTTAGAGAATTATATTTCTAGGAGTTGAAAGTATTACTAATTTTGCTCACTATTTGAATGAGACAAGACGGCCGACTACGGATATTGAATTAGAAGTGTTAGTTTAGATTTACAAAATTGCTAAAAAGTATCAATCGTGTTTACATTTGAACAATTAACACAAGATTATGTAATGAAAACATTTTGAATTGTTTCATAACATCAAATCAATTCTATAACTATAATTTATCTGAATGTCGTTATCGTCCCATCAAATTTGCATGATGATACAAGTATTTTTAGTAATATTTATTTTTCATACAGACATCATTGTTATTGGAATGTTCAAATAGTTGGAATGCGAAAACATAATTTCGAGTTTACAAGGGGCAACCTGATAATTAGGCATAGTTAAGAGGGCAAATTGGAAAATTTAATAGGTATGGAGGAAGTCCAAAATGCTCACTTGAGGTCCAAAATTAAACTTAATACGAAGATGTTTATCTATTCATAAATAACAAAAATAAGCACTTTGGGCTGTGAGAGACATTGGAGCTGGAAGAGGTTGATACTTTTACAGCTCCTCATGGTGAGATTTGATAAAGAAAGCCAAGCCAAGCCAAGCTGCAACAAAGAAAGAAAGCGTGGAAGAAAAGCCCACTCAAAATGGAATAACGAAAGAACGCAACAAAAGGAGACGGCGTTCTGTCAGGTAATGCCCCCCTCCCTGTAAATGGCATCAGTACATTGGTCGGTTCTGAGCAAGGGACAGACAACCTCTCTCTGCCCTCCTTCCCGCCTGCGCCTGTGATATTATTAGTATTATTATTATACGATAAATATATTACATATACCATAGCCACAAGCTCTGCTCTCAACCATTTCTTGTTTCCATGGAGGAGGAATCCCCAAGGTAAAGTCCTAGACTATTTTGTTACTTCTCAGTGACTTTTATTGTTGGTTTTGGTTGAAGCGTATATATTAGATGGGTGAGTGTCTCCTAACTGCCTTTTTCTCTCCCTGACCATCTCCTTAACCAGTACTAGCCGGCCCAAGGAGGATTCTGAAACCCCAGGAGCAGTAATGCCGAGTCCATCAAGGCTCCAATTTGAATCCTCAGATCCTCATCCTGATTTCGTGGAGCTCGATCCCACTGGCAGATATGGCAGAGTAACTACCCAAACTACCTAACCCAGTTCACCGATTTCCCTCTTCATTCAGTTTTTCTTAACCGTTTATGGCTTTTCCCTTCTTCTGTGTGTGTGTGTGTGTGTGTTGCAGTATAATGAGATTCTGGGGAAAGGAGCGTCCAAGACAGTGTAAATGAACCGTTTGGAAGCTCTACTTACTTTCTACCCTTTTAATGTCTCATTGTTCTTAAGTTTCGCTGATACTCCTTTTGCAGTTACAAGGCGTTTGATGAGTATCAAGGAATAGAAGTGGCGTGGAATCAGGTAAAGCTGCTGGACTCTGTGCAGAGCCCAGGGGAATTAGAGCGGCTCTACTGTGAAATCCACCTGCTCAAGTCACTGAAACATGAAAACATCATGAAGTTCTACTGTTCTTGGGTAGATGTCCCCAGCAGGAACATTAATTTCGTCACCGAGATGTTCACCTCCGGCACTCTTAGACAGTAAGCAGCGTGTTTTCTTTTTGCCCATCTGGTTTTTTTTTTTTATTCTCTCTTCTCTCTTATGTTTTAGTTGTTTGCCAATTTAGTATCCCAAAATTGCTTCTTGCTGGGTTATTTCAGGTATAGGCTAAAACACAGGAAGGTGAATATTAGAGCTGTGAAGCATTGGTGTAGGCAAATTTTGAAAGGGCTTCTTTATCTCCACAGCCATGACCCTCCAATTATCCACAGAGATCTCAAATGTGATAACATATTCATTAATGGCAATCAAGGAGAGGTTAAGATTGGTGATCTTGGCCTAGCTGCAATCCTCAGGAAATCCTATGCGGCACCTTGTGTTGGTAAGTGAACACTAAACAACCCCTGAGATATTTGATCCATCTTATGGCTTTTCTGAAGTGTAAAGCTGGGGTTTTCCTTTCAGGAACTCCGGAGTTCATGGCTCCAGAGGTTTATGAAGAGGAATACAATGAACTAGTGGACATATATTCATTTGGGATGTGTGTGTTGGAGATGGTTACATTTGAGTATCCATACAGTGAATGCACCCACGCTGCTCAGATTTACAAGAGAGTTGCGGCGGTATGGAAGAAACAAAATTAAGTCTCATTCATACGCTTTGCGATTGTTTCTCCAAGAATTTTCTGTATGGGTAATAATCTTTTTGTATGTCCTTATTCAATAGGGTAAAAAGCCAGATGCTTTATACAAACTGGAAGATTTAGAGCTGAGACAGTTTGTTGAGAAATGTCTGGCCACTGTTTCCAGTAGACTCTCTGCTAGAGAGCTTTTGATGGACCCTTTCCTCCAGATTGATGATTACGGGAGCTTCAATGGTGGAAGCCCTTTAGTTGGACGGCCTTTATCATTTGATCATACTGGCCATTACCTTGGTTATGATCTTGAGTACCCTCCTCCTGTTGATTGCGACAGTGAGATTGATCTGTATGTTTGTGAAGAGGACAAGCATTTCACAGATGTTGAGATTGCAATTCATGGTAGGAATGGAGATGATGATGGCATCTTTTTGAGGCTCAGAGTTTCAGACGTAGAAGGTTGGCTGGTTCTGAGTTTAGACATTTTGTCATGAACAAAATGATAGTGTGTGACTGAGATTCACTGTTATATCTATGCAGGCCGCATTAGGAACATCTATTTCCCGTTCGATGTTGAGAATGACACTGCCATGAGTGTCGTTAGTGAAATGGTTTCCGAGCTTGCCATTTCTGATAAAGATGCAATCAAGATAGCTGACATGATTGATGATGAGATTGCCTCCTTGGTCCCACAATGGAAGAAGGATTCGGTGATAGATATGGCAACTGCTGTAGATGGTTGTTCAAACGATAAAGAGCAGGTGGATCGTTTGTCAACCGATGGTTTAGATGCCAAGAATGTGGCTCCTTGTCATCGCAGGGGTGCATCGACCAACGGTCAGTTCGAGGAAGTGACATATCAAGTAGAAGGATCAGAGACAGATGGACAACAAAAGGCAACTAGTCATGGAGATGATGATGAAGAAGAAGCACTTTGCAATGCAAGAAACTCTGTCTCTTCCACCAACCCTTCGATGTCGAATGCATATTGGGAGGACTACGAGAACGAGATCAAGCAAGAGCTGAGGTGGCTTAAGGCGAAGTTTGAGATGCAGTTGAGGGAAGTTAGAGACAAGCAGCTAGGACTCCATCCTGGAACCCCTCTACAGTCTACTACCTCGGAAGGCAATGAAGATGGTGGAGGAGTTGTTTCTTCTTCACTGATTTTACCTAGGCTGACAAGAGAAAACGGGAATCAGTCCATTCCAATCCATAAGGAGAATGGAGGAGTTCCATCAGCGAATTTTCGAGCAGGTAGAAGCCGGAGGGAGCTGAGTAGGTCTGGTAGCTTCAAGAGATTGGAGAGGACGAGTACAACTCTATACAGAGCAAAATTGCTTCCAAAATCCCTGCATAGAGCAGCTTCCCTTCCGGTAGATGCTGTAGAAGTTTAACACTTACATACCTTTTTTTGCTGTAAATTGTGAGTCTGTATGATGAAGCGGGAAAGGATGTTTAACGCACAAACAAAGTGTGCTTACCAATGTACATTTTTTTGCCACACCAATCACACATCAGAAAGAATTAAACTCCAGGTTTTAGTTCATCTGTTGCTCCTACTACCCTGCTTGACTGCTGACTGAATATTGAGGGGATTTATTAGTTATGAAACAAAAATCAACATCCCAAATCAGATTGTGAATAAATCCGATCGCAGCAAATGCAGTCCAAAACATCGATTCAGTTCGATTCGATCTGGCATGGACGAAATCCTCGCCTACCCTGAAGCCAGCAGGGTTACTAGACATTAGTGCTGCTGTTGGCTATTCACATAGAATATGCTGCATTGTCAAAGCATAGATAAATTCTACTTTCCAACTGAAAAGAAAAAAGGGACAACTCTCAAGAGCCAACCAGAAAAGCTGGTATCTGTCTCTTCCAGAAGTTCTTTGCCCACTTCTTTATCTTTTCTAAATTTCAACGTTTGATACTCCTGGCTTGCTAACTGGCTGGCTGCCTATATCTCCATAAACAGCCATTGCTTTACGCTTTATACTTTCCCATCATGGAATGCTAATGAGTTACGAGAGACGAGGGAGATGCTCTGCAAAGCAAGGGGGGAGAAAAGCTGCCCAAACACGTAGACAGATTCCTCCATAGGCTTTCTTTTTATCATTTCTATGTTAAAAACGACTCTGTTCTGCGTTTCATCTCCAAAAAGCTAGCTAGCTTAGCTAGGGTGGCTCATCATTAGGTAAGGTAGCTAGGTTGTGCCGTGTCCAAGTTACCAACATGATTTTGCAAAGTTTATAATTGGGTAAATTGCAAGTTTGGTCACAGAAATGAAATTACTTAAAAAAATTTACCACTTAAATTAATTAATTTCATCCGTAATCACTCAAATTAGTTCAACAGTTCAAGTTTGGTCACTCTCCATTAGTCTCTGTTAAATTTTTTTGATGTGGCAGTCAACTTTGATAGTTAACCTTTAATTGTGCGACGTGGCCATTAAAAATAATAAAATAATAAAGTTTAATCATTTAAATTTTCCACCTCATTTTAAATTCATTGAAAATAAAAAATAACTTTAATTTAATTTATTTTCTTCTCATCTCAAACGAATACAACCCAACCTCGTCGTCGCCAGTGTTTGATTCATTTCCGTCGATGCTCTGAATTCCAGCGATACTTTCACACGCCAATCCGAAGGAACAAGCTCTTTCTCTCTTTGTTCTCGCTGCCGGAAGTTGAATAAGCGAAAAGGAAGGGAACGGAAAGGAAAAATGCCGAGCAGCTGCGCGATCTTCTGCGAGATCCTCATCGTAATCTTGCTCCCTCTGCTGAGAGTCTGCCTCAGGCATGGCTACTGCATCGTAAGTTTCCTTTCTTCTCCTTCGATCCATCTTTTTCATCAAATTTTCTCGGGAGCCAAACAGATTGTTTTGCTCTCCTTTCCTGGCTTCCCAAGTCCTAACAGATCTACATTGAGATGGTGTTCTCGGGATGAAATCGGGTTTTCTAAGGAATTGGTGGTGTTAATTTTGAAGGTGGAAATCTGCATCTGTGAGAAGATTTAGGGTTGAGAGGAATTTGCACAGAAACCAGATTGGGGAAATTGCTCATAGTGAGCTTTTCCATTGAGAAGAGTTTATATACAACTGCAAACAATGATTTACAATTAGCCGTTTAAACTAACTTTCTAATCTACCAATCAAAGCTATACACATGTCTAATTAAACAGTAAAACTTGAATGCTGCCGTTGCACTCTCAAAACGGTGCGTTGCTTCTCATTTCGTCCATAGCGACGTCGTCTTCATTCTTCTCTGTTTTCTCTGCTTTCGTCATTCCTTCTTCCAGATCAACAGCAGCAGCATTTGTTCCATGGACAGCAACTAATCTTGGAGCTTCTTCTTCTTCCTCATCCACGCTTCTTTTCACCCTCCCACAAGCTGGCGAGTATAGGTTATATACTCCCAGCTTGGACAACAACATAATAAATCGATCTATTGACAAACTTTTGGTGAAAATATCTGCTAACTGTGGGAATGTAATGTAAAGAAATCATCCCTGATTGAACTCTTTCCCTTATGACATGACAGTCTACCTCAATGTGTTTCGTCCTCTCGTGAAACACAGGATTGTCTGCAATATGTAATGCAGACTGATTGTCACAATACACTGAAACAGAATCATCATGCTTGATTCCAAACTCTGACAGCAGCCTGATCAGCCACTGCACTTCACAACTCAGGCTTGCCAAGGCCCTATACTCTGCTTCTGAAGAGGAACGAGATACAGTTGTTTGTTTCTGACTCTTCCAACTCAATAAACCAGTTCCAAGAAAGGTACAATATCCAGTAATTGACCTTCTTGAGTCAGGGCAAGTTGCCCAATCACTATCACTGTATCCCTTTAATTGCAAGCTTGAATCACAAGAGTATAGCAGACCTTGTCCAGGTGAACCCTTTAGGTACCTTAGAACCCTATGCAAAGCTCTAAGATGTTGTGTGGTAGGTTTATCCTGGAATTGGCAAAGCTGTTGCACAGCAAAGGTGATGTCAGGCCTAGTGGTGGTTAAGTACTGAAGTTGACCCACTAGATGCATGTATTCACCAATTTCTTCAAGTGGTGTACCACCTTCAGAAGATAGAACTTCCTTAACAAAAATTGGAGTTGCTGCTGGTTTACAATCTCCAAATCCTGATTCAGCAATGACATCAAGACAATATTTTCTTTGTGAAACTGTAATGCCTTGTTTCCCACGTGTTATTTCAAGGCCAAGAAAGTAACTCAATTCTCCTAGATCCTTCATTTTGAAGTCAGCATGCAGCATCCTCTTTACTGCATTAATTGATTCACAATAATCAATCCCATAAACTTGAGTATATCCCTTTGCAACTAATCTGGCCTTAAACTTGTCAACTGTGCCATCAGATTTCAACTTCAATCTAAACACCCACTTGCATCCTATTGCATTCTTATCAGCTGGTAAATCTGTGATTTCCCAAGTACCATTATCAAAAAGTGCTTGAAGTTCTTCTCTTATAGCTTCATTCCACTCAGGGTGTTCTGAAGCTTCAGTATAGGTACTTGGTTCCATGTGAGTGATCAATGAGTTAACAAACTTCTGAAGTTTAGGTTGCAAGTGAGAGTAAGAAATGCTATTACTATGAGGATAGTGCATATCATAATCAGAATGCCATGAAGGGGGTTTTGACTCTCTACTTGACTTTCTAAGAGGAGCAGGTGGATCTTCATGGGGAGATGGAAAAGGGGAAAAGGTGTATGTGGAAGAAGAAGGTGAAAAAGTGTGTTTGGAAGAAGAGGAAGAAGGAGTTTTGGATGGAGATGGTGATAAGAGAAAAGGAAGGGATGCATCAGTACCAGTGGGAGTAGAAGTGACTTCTTGAGGCTCATCAGGATGTGAAGTAAAGGGAGTAGCAGTGTCCTCCTCAGACTGATGAGGAAAAGAAGTCACAGGATTGGGAGGAAAAATTGGTGACTGAGCATATGAGGGAGATAGTTCAGAAAAGATGGGTGGAGTGGTTGAATTTGTAGGTGGAGTAGAAGGGATAGACTGTTTGAAAGGGAGAATGTGTTCATAAAAGATCACATCTGCATGAAGGATAAAATCACCCCAGTACAGCAGAGGAAGACCTGATTGGTATTTGAGTGCTCTGGCAACATTAAGGAGGTGTTGATGCTTTCTTTCAACCCTCCCATTCTGTTGTGCAGTGTAGACAACACTCATTTGATGGACAATTCCTTCTGTGTTATAAAAATCATTCATATGGAACTCTTGTCCTTGGTCAGTCCTGATGCTTTTGACATTTGTGTTGAATTGAGACTTGACCATAGACCAGAAGGATTGAAGGAGAGGTCTGGCCTCATCCTTTGATCTCATAAGATAGGTCCACACACATCTAGAGTGATCATCAACTAAAGTTAAGAAATAACTATAGCCTTTGTAAGAAACTGTGTTCAATGGACCCCAAATATCATCATGTATCAATCCAAAAAGAACAGGACTAATAGAGGAACTAGAAGGAAATGGAAGCCTCTTCTGTTTGGCTAAGTGACAAACATCACAATGAGTATATGGAGAAGCTATTACATTAGGAAAAACTCTATGAATAGCTTGTAATCTGGAAACATGTGGATGTCCTAATCTGGCATGCCAGAGATCAAACTGCTGGGACTGGAAATTGTGGGAAGTGGCTGCAAGGCATTGAGGTGTGGAAGTTGAAGATGGTGTCTTGGTGAAAAGGTAAAGTCCTCTATCCACTTGGGCTAAACCAATCCTCTTTTGTGTAATAAGGTCGTGAATGACACAGACAGAGGATTGAAAGGTAAGTGAGACAGGATTTTGTTTGGTCAACTTACTAACTGAAACAAGGTTATAGCTAAAAGTGGGAACTAGCAGAACTTGTGAAAGGAATAAGCCACAAGGGAGTCTAACTACACCTATGTGTGTGGCCTTTACTTGTTCACCAGTAGGTAGAGTAACAGAAACACCAGCAAGTGCTTTATACTTGCTGTAAAATTTGGAACTACAGATGATATGATCTGTAGCCCCAGTATCCAAAACCCATAATGGCTCACCAAAAGATGCAATTAGAGCTGAGAGTGCTGTAGTACCTGAACTGGAAGGCATGTAAGCCAATTGTGGAGGTTGCCTGTTGGTTGGTGCAGAACGAGTGACTGCATTAGCAGTATGCAGTGATGGAGAAGTAGGAGGAGATGGTGAAGGAGATGGAGATTTGAAGAGCATGAGCTTCAATTTATCCATCTGTTCATGAGTGAAGATGCTTTCAAGACTCATTTTGTTGTCAGAAGAGGCAGTAGAATTCTCATAGGGGATGGAACTCTCCACTGATCCAGCAAAACCAGCTTCTGCCTCTCTAGCCTTCTTGTTTTTCAATCTGTAGCAGTCTTTGATCAGATGGCCCTCCTTCTTGCAGTAATTGCAAATCTTCTTACCATCTTGTGTTTGTTGTTGCTGTTGCCCTCTTCCCTTAAATTGGTTGTTGTTGAATGATCCCACAGCTAAGGCAAGAGAGTCAACACTAGGACCTTTGTTAAGGACCTTTAATTGTCGTTC